GTGACCCTCACAGACCTCCATCTGTTGCTGCTCCATCTCTCTACAGTCACAGTGCTGCTCCCATCGGTGCAGCAGCATCTGACATGCTGAACTCCATGGGCCACAAAAGAAGTTGGTGTTGCTAAACTTAAAGTTGCCTTAACTTCGTTTCTGGGAGTCGGGCCAGGCTGTTTAGCCAGCCTGCAGAGAGCAGCAGAGGTGGGGGACAACAAAGATAGACCCTTCATTCCTCCATATGGCAGGTTGAAAGGGGTCGCTGCTGGAAGAGAAAGGGACCATACATCAGCAGTACTCAATATTAAGGAGCTGGTTGGTACACTAAAATAGCACTTTGGCTCAGGATTGTGCCATGGCAATAAGTCTGCAGGGAGTAAGAAAATGTGAGCAAATACACCAGTTCAAGAGAAAATGCTGTGTGGAAGGAAAGAGGGACTTTTGTCTTGTTTACAACAGATTTTTGAAACTCTTTTGGATCCATGGAACCCAGTAGGGTATAATCAATGTCACATTTTTAAATTTTTGGAGGGCAATGGCCTCAGATCCAATCACCAATAGTGATGTTTGTATTTACTGAAAGTGGCAGCGGTCTGTTACATAATTGTGTATTTAAATCCGCTATGGCTCAGATAGAAAATAATGCTGTGTTAATGTTTGCCAGTAATATAGTTTTGATAAAAGCTTAATTAAATATGTCAAACTGAATGAATCTGAAGAGCTAACCCTCCTACAATAATGGACTCTAACCTGACAACATCTACATCAATCTGCTGAGTGGAGTCTTTAGGGACTCAATATACTTAAACAAACTAGTCATCCAACCAATGGACACAGTCATAGGTGAGGCCTGCTTTCAAACTTCCAGTGGCCTGGAGCATGGATTGACAGTTTAGAAAAGTTTTAATTAATTTAATTTAAACTTCTAAACAACAACAACAGCCACAACAACAACAACAACAACAACAACAACAGCCACAGCCACACAGCCATCTTAAAAGCAGTAACCTCATACACTTACAGTTTCCTTAGTTCATGCTGTTTTTCCTTAAGATTGGTTTATATACTTTTCAGACACATTATACATTTTGTTGCAAACATTTATTTAGTTTAAATAACATACAGGACACTTGGTTTGTTTTACATATATACTTTATTTAGTTGAACATGCAAGGGTATCTTTTTGGAGCATGCACAATTAGTTGCTTTTGGATTGTCTTTCTGTTATAACTGTTTCTTTTGAGCTTACCAGTGTTGCTGATTCCACACCCTGGGAGGAGCATGCAGTCTGCTGGGTCAAAGGGGGGTACCTGGAACAAGAGCAGCTTTTTAGGGGAGGTGGCCAAATTGGCCACTACCATTACTTGTGGTGTCCCAAGATATTTGAGTTTTGATTCATATTATATTAAGTATATTTAGTAGTTTAATGTTAATTAGATTAATTTCTTTGGAATAAGTGTTTAGTTGTTTTTTTTTTTTTTTTTTTTTTGTTATTTGAGTTTACCGTACTAGTGTTATTGTTAGTCTCCCTGGTGTGTCAAACCTGGTCTGATCAGCCAGTATATAAGTCCCCTTTGTTTCTCTTATTGGAGGTCAGTTGTATTTTGAGTTTGTTATGTTCAGAGCTTAAGTTATGTTTGTTTGACCTCTTTTAAGGGCCCAAACTTTATCTTTATTTTGTTATGATTTTTTGTAAAATAAAAACCTTTCCTTTTGATTTTGAATTCTCTTGACTCCTCCTGCCTAACTGCTTGGTCCCTCACAATAGATTAATCCAAGGATTTGATGGAAATTAGTAGGGGGTTGCCAATAAAAGTAATGTTTTAACTAGTTTTTGGAATGGTAACTGTAATGTTGTTACTGCAATCTATTAGTATTAAGTTACACTACAAGTTACTGGGCAATGAGTATTATTACTGTAATATTATTACTACTAATGAGTTACTGTCCAACACTGGAGAGGACCATGATGTTCTCTGTGATGGGATTCCTGGATTCCTGGGTGTTGTTTTTCTCAAGGTGTGTGAAGAGCAGTAAAGATGACATCCTCTGTGGATCTGTTGCTTCTGAAGCCAAACCAGTGAGGGTCCAGGCTGGCAGGGATATTCTTTATGTGCTGGAGAACCAGTTTCTCAAAGCACTTCATCAGAATGGGGGTGAGAGCCACAGGGCAGTAGTAGTTTAGATTAGGTACTGCATACATAAGTACAGGGATGATGGGGGCTGTCTTCGCACAAGCTGTACAACAAGTTATTCACCTACTGTAATTGTCATTTTGTCGTGTGTGTGTGTGTGTCTGTGTGTGTGTGTTTCCAGTTGATTCACAAATTGTGTGTTTGCTCAAAACCAGCCACTCAGATTCATATAAGAGTTCAGATTTATTCATTCTTCTCTACAGAAGAAAATATTTAACAAAATGTCTAATACAGAACATAAAGAAACATTATTGACCGCAGTTCCTAATATATACATGAAGTCTGTTGTCTTGACAGACGAAGAAAGAAAGAGAGAGGAGAGATGGGAAGTGACACACGTAAGACATTTACATACCATTTACTTACAGAGAATGCACCCACAAAATAGTGCTATCCTAGCTGGAAAAAGTAACGATATGCAAACAAATGTGCTCGACTGTAGCAATCTGAAAAATACATTTCTCTAGTTCTCAGTAAGTGTTTTATGAACAAATACTTTAATACTGACAACCCTGATGATCTTTACATTTTACGTTTCCTCTAATCTAATAAATCTAAGCATTTAAATACTCCTCACTAACATGGCAAAGTAGATCCAGGTGATCTTGGTATCTTACTCAACGTCCAGGATCACACTTTCTTTCTTTGTGTGGATTATTACTGAATAGTGAATAGTAGTTCTACATCACCCTCTGGTGTGTGATGGTAAAACTGAGTCTGTGTTTACTGTAAAGCTCTAAATGCGTGATGAGTCGGGATGAGAGAGGAATTTGTGCACATAGATATAGCGCCAATGAATACTGGATAAAAAAAGAGCAATGTGGAGGTTTGGGGATAGGTGTCTTACTAGTAACACAAAAAAAATTCAAAGTCGATCATTTAAGGTGTCTATAATGTAGTAGAAGAGTATAGTAAGAGTTAGAGTTTATATATAATTTGATCTACTGGTTACTTTGAATTTCATAACAATTTTCTAAAAAAGTCTGTCTTGTATTTAAATTTTTCTTATTTAAATTCCAAATTCTGTGGATTTGTTGTGTGTTTCTTCTCGTGGAGACATCTTTTTGCAGGACTGAATATACCAGCACTATAATGCGATATGTATGCAAGGTATGAATGCACAACATATGAGGTCCTTTAATGTTTTCTATTTGATAGCGTCAATTACATAAACACATCAGATTCCTTGGTCACCAGCTGAATTCTACTTTGCTGATTAAACTATTCTAGTTACACAAATTTTTACAATCCAGCAACACTGATAGAATTATCACTAAATCACTAATATACCTCATCAAGCCGATCAATTTTTATTTATTCATATGTATAAAAGTCACCGTGGGAAAAACTGAAAATGAGTGGTGCATTAGTAGCAGATGAACTGCAGTTTTTTTGTTTTTATTTTAACTGCACATTAAAATAGCAATTTTTAAAGATTACCTGAATCTTGCAGGGAGAAAAAAGAGGAGGAGAGACAGAAACAGATAAAGAAACGAGAAAACAATCAAACAGAGAATCAGATTGTAGGTGGTTAAAGAATGAGTCGATCCATTGCAATAAAATCAAAAGAGTTGTTAAGTGACAAACTCTGAATGGTAACCAGTTAAAAACATTTGGATGTGAACTGTGCAGTTTACTCATCAACTGTCAAACCAAATGACAACACAAAGTTGATCACTGGGACAGCAGCTTGAAAGAGTCAACATGGTTCATTTGTTCCCTCAATAAAATCTGTCATCACAACTTATTCAATATGATTCAATTAATCCTCCATACCACGACCGTAAACCAATACTTCATGTCATAACCAAACAAAACAGTGCAAAACACTGGGTTACTTGCATCGAGATTATTATATTATGGCTACAATGTTCGAGCTAACAGTCTGAGGGATATTAGGCACATCTTATAACACAAAAACAATGTCATACAATGACAATTGTCTAAATTGACGAACAAAATTTATGAAACAAAACAAAAATCAGGACAAATTATTCTGAAACTAAATAACATTTGCATTGTTATTAAAGCTCAGTCTTAAATGACTTCCTCCTTAAAAATTACTGGTGATAAATGGTGATGCCTTCTCCAGGATAACCCGGGTTTTCCCTCCACACACAACTTTCAAACACGGCTTCTTTGCTTCTGTCTTTGTCACAATATGGTAAATAATGTCAAATACAGAGAGCCCTGAGTTGATGTAACAGGGTCTCTGGTGGCCATAGTGGAGGTGTTCAGCTCTTGGGCACCAACAACCGTAAATAACAGGTTTAATATTTTATGGCTGCACATAATGCTGCCTGGATTATGTTTTTCTTCTTTCCAGCATTAATGCACTTATCTACTGATGCACAAAATTAAACTAAACAATGTTCAAGCTATATAAGGTATAAAAACCTGGAAAAGTTGTTATGCCTTTATGATTTATTAAAATTCCTATTGTTGACTAAGACGGGACTGGAAGCTGCAGTGCTGGGGTTGAATACATCTATCACCCTCTGCACTTGTAATTTTCGTCGCACTATGTGACCTTCATGTTATTCTTTGTATTAAATAAATGCTGAATGTACTCACTGTTTGGCAAATTTGCTCAAATTGAAATGTTTCTGAGAGCCCATTCATAAGACTGTGTTGATTTCTACATATAGCTGGTATCTAGCCATCTACACAGAGACATTCATAATCTCTGCTTTGTATTGGAAATGATACATCAGCAGTAACACATCTGATGGATGTTGTTGTTTAGATGTGACCTGAAACATTTGATTAATCAGTTAGTAGAAAACAGCCACTGTTTTTATAATCTACTTGTTCAAGTCATTTTTCAGATCCTCAACCGGGAGGATTTGAAGATTTTTCTGTCTTTTCTGAGATTTCTCTCTCTCTGTCTCAACAGAACATTTGGGGGTTTTGGTCAAAAACTATCAATTTGAAGACATCACGTTGGGATTTAAGACATTGTGATGGACATTTTTCACTATTTACTGACATTTTATAATCAACTAATCAAGACAATAATGCAAAGATTATTTAGTATTGTAAATAACAGTATACATTATTACCTATATCACGCTGTAACATCAGTTTTAGCTATCTAATGAATTACATAATTTAATAATCAAGCTGATGCTTATGCAGGTTAACTGAGAAGATGCTGACACTTTTAGTGCAGTAAGGAAAAACCTCCATAATGGCTCAAGTCAAGTTAATTCTTTCAGGAGAGGGAAACAAAGAGAAAAAGACAAAGGCAGAAGCATCCATTCCTCCACTGAACAGTGTGGTAAGGTCTACAGTTTAATGTGTAACTTCTTTGTTGCATCAACCCAACCTCATCAGGAGGAGGGCTCTGAGCTACATTTCGCTGCTGGGGTCCCAGTTACAGAATTAATATTAAAACCAGAGCCCTTGATAGGAAGAGTTATGACAATTTGTACAACAGTGGACGTGTTGAAACCCCCTCTCTGGTGATGACAGGTGTATGCTAAAAATATTTAACACTGACTTCCATAACATCATCATAGTGCTTTGCTCTGGAAGGCATAACTGTAAAGAGGGGGGTAGTGTTTACATTTCACTCTTCCTGTTCAGGTAGTTTCCTAATTAGTTTATGGTCACCACCATTTTATTACAGGGTCGTCATTCTAACCGCGAGGATACTACTACCACACTGGAAGCAACAAGACAGCACACTGCTCTAAATGTTTACACACTACAGACTGACAATCAGCAGTGGTGTTCTGGTGGTTGAGGATGTCGTACACAACAACAAGTGGTACTTTCAAAACATCATTTAAATAGACTGATAGGAGAGGGTCATACCAAAAAAACAAAACATGGGAGGGGGTAGTCTGTGTGCTTCTGTATACCTTAAACTACACTATTAAATACCACATAGATATTGTTTACACTCTGCCTTTCATCTCCAGACAAAGCCATTTGCCGTCATCGACAGTATGATGAATAGATGTTAATGTTTGTAGCAGTAAGCCTGCCTAAACTCCAAATATGACACATGACTTATTCAAGAAAGAGAGATTAACAGTCAAAACATGGCAAAAGCTGAATTAGACAATGGTGTTATTACCAGATGGAGTCATTGTCCAATCATCATCGGGACGAGAGACCTTTTTATGGGAGAACCTGTCATTCCAGAAACTTTACAGTACAATGCAATCAGTGAGTTTGTATTTTGTCCATAAACAAACTGTTGTTAAATTGTAAGGAGTCCTGGCTGCATTTCAGTCCACTGAGAGGCTGACGTTAGCAATACTTCAGCCTTATTAGGTGTTAGCAACTGTGTGGAAGAGGTGTACATCTCATTTAGTGTCCATTGTTTGGTGTCACAGCTGCTCCTGACAGCCATTTTGTGCCCCACATCACAAGTGTTTGTTTAATTCAATTGGGGACAACCAACAGCACAGGTGAAAGAAAAATAATGAATTGTCCTATGAGATCTGGTTCGCCCCTGGTTGCCGGGAGTTGCCATCATCCCCCCTCTCTGATTGGTGTTTATAAAGGTCGCACGGCATGAGAGGGAGGGGCTGTCCCTGCTCGGCCAACACTGACTCATAAGGCGGTGCCGCTTCCAGCGGGAAAGAGATGGCTGCAATGTGTTGATGCTCCTGCTCCTGTAGTCCCAGTGGGTAGTGGGAAGGGGAAAACCAGGCAGCGCTGGCCGAGGTCTCGCCACAGTATGGAGAAGGATCCAGATTGGTGTAGTTAGGCTGCTCCTCCTGCTCTGCCCCTCTCTGACAGGGGTCCAATAGGGAGTAAGGAGGCGGATCATCTGTTGGTATGTAAATCTGACTTGAACCTGGACCAACACACTCATCGTAACTACAGAGATAAAAACAAAAATAAATAAAAACAGTTAGTGCTCTGGTGGTGAAAATGGAGAACCAAAATTCATTCTTTCTGGCTTGGATGTTAGCACCATTTTACGTTACAAGAATATCAGGTTTTATATGGCAGCAAACTCGAAAACAAAATGTTTTTCTGTTTCTTCCAGGGCTTGGATGGAAAATGGTTTCTCAGTTGAATCATCAGTACAAAAGATGAGCAACTGTGCAATAAAATATCTGGAACATTGAGATGAAGTCAAAAGTAGAAGCCTGCATTTATAAACTTAAAGCCACACCTCTTCAGAAGCATTTTAGTAAGAAACAGTTTGCCCCAGTTCAGACAGTGCACAATTGTGTGTGTGTGTGTCACGGCTAACTCTATGATACATTATGTGCTGACAGCTGTCCAGTTTTGTCTGTCTCTTCACACTGAGAGGGACACAAAAGGAACAGGTAACCATCCGAGATTTTCTTTATGTAACAACAACAAAAGAAAACAACACTCATTTGCACACATCCATATTTGTGATACACTGAACCCCAAAAGCACACACAACAAAATCCACTGTGTTGCCCACACAAATGCAGCGCTACATACACAGTATTATGCTCCGCAACTCCAAAGCATTAGTCAATGCAGTAATGTTATCATTTAAAAATGTGTGCAGCGAATATCCCAAAGTTCATAAAACATATAAACTTTGGCTTGTCCCTGCCTGTGCATTTAATACTGCCCTCAGGAGATTTATCTCTCCATGTTTAAGAGGTCAAACACAGGCTTAGTTACAGAACATCATGCCAGCAGTTGGTTGAGAAGTCAATGTCTTGCTCAAGGACACCTCAGAAAGTCGAACAGGGTCTTTGGTTTGGAAAATTTGTTTCCCTGTTTACTACAGCACACTGCATTGATGTGCTTATTATAAGTGCAGTTCAGAGAAATAGCAAACTTGATAATAAAACAAATTATGATGGATGTACTTTATGTGTAATACACCAGGCAGGGTTAAGAATCCAACTTTTCCTGCAAGAAAACTTAAGAATTATGAGCTTACAACTTAAAATCCATGCAAAGTCATACTTTGTATGGTGTTCCTAAGAGCTCAGTGTGCGACAACCTAACACCAATTTGACAACACATGCACTGCATTTAGGAAAAGATTTTAAATAAGACAGAAACACTGAACGTGGCTGGGTGTTAGATGAATGTTGGAGTAGATCATTTGAAAAATTGCTGATCTGGCATTGTAGCATCACTGGGGGTGCTTATTTATGACTATTTTCTATTGTTGAAACCATGGTCAAGATAATTAGTAGCCTGAATTTCGCACCGGCCAAAACCACATTTCCCATAAACCCAGCACCTCTGTCAATCATGCAAAATCTGATGTAGCTGCACACAATGTAAATGGTAAATGGTAAAT